GCTTATTTGCATCTGAATCAGGGATCTGAGTGGTGGAAATTTCAGGAGCGTTCGTGGGTTGATCCTGTGGTTGGGAAGAATTCCCAAGGTCATTAGTGGACATCTCATTGACTTGCTTATTTGCATCTGAATCAGGGATCTGAGCGCTAAAAATTTCAGGAGCGTTCGTGGGTTGGACCTGTGGTTGGTCCATGGCAGGTGACGAGATGCTGAAAAAGAATACAAAATAGTGAAAGTGTCATCATCACATACAACATTCATGTTCATTCAGAAACATCAACATGGTCAGGAAAGAAAAAACAAACAAAGCACTGATCGTCACGATTATGGTCAAGTTTGACAATCATAAGCTAGCATATCTTTTTGATCTTACTGATAGAGCCCATAGCCATAAGCTCCATAGGAATTTTTTACTTATTTCAAATTGTGCCCCTTATATATTTCCACTTAATTATTTTAACAAGTCCGTTTAAGTCATTTTTTCATTGGCATCTATCTTGTAGGCTAGTTTTTACCAAACATGACTAGTTTATCAGCTAACAGCTAGCTTATCAATTAGTTTGCAAAATATAGCCTACAACTGAACTCCATGGCTTTAGGGCATGGGAAAAAGTCCAAGGAAAAGACCATAAACTTACCATAAAGCCTTTTCTGTAGTGTAGATGGTGAATAAAGTACAATGCGAATAGAAAACAGGACAGTAATGAAGTCAAAAAATGGAGGCAGAGGGTAAGGATCTAAGGATTCAAGACAGGCCTCTGCTTTTTATAGAGTAGTTTATAAACAGATATTTGTTTTATACTTATATGGTTCCTTTATCCATAAAAATCACACATGGTAATAAGGAAATACTTAGATATCAGTCGAAATATCAAACTAGCATTGAGTTATGACAAAAGAGAAGCATCTTGTGAGCCAAAAACAATATTCACCAACAGTTTGCAATTTCAATGGAGGTGTAGTACTTTTCCTCAAGGAGTCAATTCAAATGACTTTTGAGTGTCAAAAAAGGTCATAATTTACAAGATCCAATTTCTGTGTAAACACTATATTCAACTACATCATCAGAAAAGAGGTTAATAAATCAAACCAAGTAAAAATCCCTTTTTGGAAAAGGGATAGAGAGGTTGTTTCTGTTGCAACTTTGAGATGATTATTACTGTGATTAAAATTTCTTCTTACCAGTTATATTTCAATCATTCACCTTATATTCTTCTGAAATCTCAACAACACAATTCAAAACATCATATCATATCATATCATATCAGATTTTGATTCATTGATACCAATATGTTCAAATTTGAGCAAAATCATACTAATCATCTATTTGACGATGTAAGTTTGATGATCTTCACAGTATTGTGAAATCGTCATTTAAAATGGATTCGAAAACGAAATTGGTCTGATTTCAGTTCTCAATCACATACAACACAAAATTAAACCCTAATATAACCACAGATTTAAGCTTCTTCTCCTCAAATAAGCAAAGAATTGAACACATCAAACAAAGCGATTGCCATAATTTTATAATAATTTGACATAAACACACAGAGTGATTAGGAGAGAGAGAACCTGGTAATGGAAGAGAACCTCTCTTCCAGTGAAGCTGTTAATGGCGAACGTCAATGACGATGGATATATTTAGATGCCATTTGTTTACAATATTCAATTCTTCAGGGGCTTATAAAGAAAATTAGAGAATAAGAATCTTTGAATGTTACAAGTTATACCCTCCAACTTTAATTTGATGTTTTTCCTCTTCTTCACTCCATCTTTTTATCACTTTTTGGTACAATTATTAATTATCACATTTCTTTTCATACAATCGAGAACACTGATTAAATAAGAGAATACAGTATATGTCAAATCACGTGTGATTTTATACTGAACCCGCATGTAAAATCACATGTGATTACATATGACCTAGATCGTGGGCCAAGTCATCTACACCGTTTGCGTTGACCATGTTCTGTGATAACTTGTGCTTTTGTTGATCTCGTATTCTCTTATTTTTAACCTGTTCTCGTTTGATCCTCCCTATATCTTTATAATCATATTAACTATATCATTTTCTTCGTTTTACAGTTAAAGCATTTAAAAACGAGGGTTAAATTTCGTATCCTCCACCTGTCATTGTTTATGTTGCTTAAAATCTGACAAAAAAATCCGAAGAGCAGGTGGCCACGGAGGTTCAAATATGGTGACTCCATGCTATCCGCAAAACAGGTGGTCAAAAAGTAATATTTTCCGTCCCCGTAATTTTAAAATTATAAGATAGTTTGTGAAACCGTTCGAATTTGGTTCCTTCCTCTAATGGTCGTCAAAAAGTTCCGTTAAGTGAGTGAATTTTCATCGTTTTATAGATTTTTTTTATCTTTTACCCAATCAAAATTGATTTTATAATTTTGGTCTCTATGGGTTTTTGATTAAGTAAAAGAAAAAAACAAAAATTCTTTTCATCTAATGGAATATTTTAACGTCTGTTATACCCCAACTTTACTTTGAAGGTTTTCCGACTCCTCACGCCACCTTCATTTTATTCGTGAGAATTACAACATAAACGGTTTGTATTTGGTTTATTTTTAAACAAAATGACCATCCGTGGTGCGTTTTGTTTGATTTCATGGATTAAATCACGTTTTATCAGATATTTTATTGATGATGCGTTAAACGTTTTATATTGGATCTTTTATCTTGGTCATCGAGTCGGGGAAAATGACTTGTTGGTTCTTTTTAACAAGTCCATGTTTCCCCTTGATAAGCAAACAAAAATAGCTTCACGAAACATTATCCAAATTAAGCCACATGAACCGGTTGAAGGAAAGACATCTGAATCATCGACCACATAATGTTAATGTCCAAAAACTAAGTGAGAGCAGACAGGGGAGGCTATCACCGCCGTCGAGTCGATGTGCAGTTGTCAGGAGCACGTGAGTCATACCCTCGAATTTGCAATTAAACCCAACCCTATATATATATATATATATAGGGTTGGGTTCACGTGAGACCATGAGTTTTTCGTGAGACCCGTAAGACCAATTTATGTTCATTGATCAATTTTATAAACTAATGATCTAATGGTCTAAAGTTGCAAGGTGACAATTTTGTAATTATTGAGAAGTCTCGTGGTGTTTATGAATGTTCAGATCTGACGATTGTAAATTTAATCCAAGGGTTGAGAATTGGTCTTACGGGTCTCACGAAAAACCATTGGTCTCACATGATCCCAAGTATATATATATATATATATATATATATAAATATTGGGTTGGGTTCACGTGAGACCAGCCTGTTTTCGTGAGACCCGTGAGACCACATTTTTACACGTAAATTTCACAGCAAAACACTGTGAAGGTTAAAAAAAAGTCGAACCTTCACAGCAAAAACACTGTGAAGGTTAAAAAAATCACCTTCACAACATTTTGCTGTGAAGTTTCAAATGTAAAAAAGTGGTTTCACGGGTCTCACAAAAACAGGCTGGTCTCACATGATCCCAAGTCTATATATATATATATATATATATATATAGAGAGAGAGAGAGAGAGAGAGAGTCTAGTTCAAATGTTGACCAAGTTTATTGTGTTAACTTTGTTAACTATTTTCAACCAATCACGATCCATCTTAGTACTAGGTTCCTATCCATATTAGAATTTAATGAGAATGGTACATATGTAATTTCTTTTTTTTGTAACTCCTATATCATTTATTGGGAGTTATAAAATCATTAAATCCCATGATTTGTGTTAACTTATTATTAATCTTGTTATTTTTTTTAATATTGATTTTCTATCTCTAATATTTATGAATTTGTGATCGGTGAGGATACCCGGTAGTAAAGTTTTCGGTATCGTTCAAATTGACATATACGAAAGATGACGAACATGTATGATCATATGAACACAAATTCACATATGAGAACATTCATACAACCATATAAATACAACTCAACATATATGAACCATTATGTCAATTACAAACATAAATTGACATATATGAACACTTGTGTCAATTACGAAAACAGATTGACCTATATGTACAGTTGGTATAAATATAAACACATATTGATCCAAATAAACATACGAAAGATGATGAACATATATGACCATATGAACACAAATTCATATATATGAACGTTCACACACACACATACACACACACACACACATATATATATATATATATATATATATATAAAATATGTCATGTTTACATACATTCTAGCATTTGAAGTGTTGGAAAAGCTTTTTACCTTATTTACTATTTTTCTTATACCATTTGTGCCTTAGGCTACCCGTTACCTTTTGTAATTCCGGCCTTCCCTAATCCTTTCATCTTTTGTAGTTATGTCATTGTCAAATTTAGGCACCGTTTACCAAACGCTTAACGAAAAGAGACATTTTCCATCAATTACCTTATCGTGAAACATTCTCGGCCATTAAAATGAATTGTTGGTAACCGTCTTAAATCCGATAAGTGCTTACCGGGTAAGAGTCTTTTTCCCTCACTCACTGGGTAAGACTTTCGATCATTGTTAATTTGTTATGCCTCTTATCGGGTCGGATTCTTGGTCCTTGTCATTCTTAATCGTTAAGGTAAGTGATATCCGTAAGCACTTACACGATAAGTATTTAGTAAGTGGACCCTTATTATGAACTTAATTTTTTAGATGTAATTGAATAATTGGATTAATTATGGAACTCTTTAAGTTTGTTTTAGACCATTTTTAATTATGTATTTAGTATGTATTTGAACTCTTTATTGTACGGAGTATAGACTATGAACATGTAGTTCATCGAAGACACTATACAAATTCACATATGATGTGTTTTTGGTAACTATGGATGTACAAACCAACACGCGTACACCTCAATCAATCTCATGGCGCATTGAAGTTAACGGTCAGACAAATCATATGGTGGCCTTCAAAGGACTTGAACCGGTGAACTCTTAGGAGTAAACTCAAGGTCAAACCGGTTGAGCAACCCCTCAATGTTCAATTGTGAATTAAGTTTTTCATGTGATGAATTTGTTTCAGATTCACATGTGAATTAAGATTCATGTGATGAATATGCGTGTCTACGTATGAAACTTCAAAGGTGAAACTCTGTTTTGTATTACAAAAGTCAGAAAAACATGATATTCTTATAGCTTCACATCTATGTTCAACACGAAAAAACATCACAACGACAACAAACTTCTGTTAAAACAACAATTCGTCAAGAACTAACAAAATCTAGTAAGGCGGTTGCCATACAGCTAAATCTACAACCATGTTCGGTCACAACAAGAAAACATGTTCTATTAGCAACATAAAAGTCATTTCATGAACCACAATAACATAGTGGCCGCCCACGGCAACAAACTGTTTGCCAACATGTGTAAAACTCGACAACAATATAACATGTGTAAAGATCGATCGGGATTTTAATAAAAGAAACTAGTTAATAGTCAATATTATAATCATTCCATCTAAAAATTGGATAATTATGTAACATGGATTATCCATTAATAAATTGGGAGCCAAATTACCACAATACCCTTTATTAGATAAAAAAGAAAGAACTGTTAATTACATCATTGTATCAAAATGGCCTAATGGTCGAGGACTTTTGCACCTTTTCAACATATTTCGTGTTTTCATTTGAACCTGGGTTAAACTCCGGTGACTGAGCCACATTGCACATTGTATCCATCTATATTTGGTAGAAATAAAGGCATTTCGAATTAAGAAGCAAACAATATTCAGTTTAACAATATATACATATATATAGAGGTCAGTTCATACGAAAATGATACTTATTTAAGAAAATAAGAAAATGGCCAAATTACGTACAAATCACATGTGATTTACATTAAAAGATAAAAAGAGGGCGCAAGCGACTTTGGCCACGACCTCAGGTCGCGGGGAAAAGTCGCGTGAATCATATGTGATTTTATATGTGATGTTAGTGTAAAGTCACATGTGATTCAGTCATTTTCTTATTTTTTTTAAATAGATATCATTCTCGTATAAACCAGACTCTCTCTCTCTCTCTATCTCTCTCTCTCTCTCTCTCTATATATATATATATATATATATATAAGCAAAGGAGCGTGTGAGAAAAAAAATTAAGGTGAGAAGCATAAGAAGATATATGAATCCGTGATCACTTTTAGTCTAATCCCCCTCTATGAATTGAGCTTTAGAAGGGAATTGATTCGGTGCATCTTGGTGCACCTCATTAGTGTTGACATTCAATAAGGATTGATCCAAGGATGGAGATCTCTTCTTACGCTTCTCACCATGACTTCCCTTCTCACTGAAACCCAACCCTATATATATACACACACAAAGAGTGCAGATTTTGGAACATACCCATCCATGAGATTTCCACCAATCTCAACATCAAAATAAAGCCTTGTAGCCGCTTTGCCGAATAATCCATCATAATCTTGTTAAAATCGTCCCGGTCAAGGCTGTGAATTAGGTCAACCAAAGTCTAAAAACATCAATTACTTGCAAATAGGATCAAAGCTTACATCAAACATGATCAGAAGAAGAAAAGGAACCTTATGATTGTTTGAAGCTTTTTGTCCTCAAGGGGTTCCACCATCACAAATCTGATTCTGTAGAAACCAATATTATTATATGAAACAATTTCACAAGATTAAACAATTTCATGAAAAAATTTCATAAGACTATGACGTATGAGAGTAGTTTTTTACGGTTTTTACAAATTGGAGTGGTTTTCATGTGATCGCTCCTCTCTCTCTCTATATATATATATACATATATATAATTTATTTAACAGTAACCGACTGAGAGCATGTTTGTTTTTTCAAAATTACCTCTTAATACCTCTAAAGTCTGAATTGTTCAGACGTTGAATATTAAGAGCGTTTATTTTATTTTTAAAATAAGAGCGTAAAAGCTCTAAATGTCCTCTGAAATTTTAAGTGGTAAATGTATCCCTTAATACCTCTTAATCCTAATCTGCCCTCCATCACATGGTTCATATTTTGGGAGTTGGAAAGATTTGTTAGCAAAAATTATTCATCTTTTATACTTCTGTAAAAAAACTATCTTTTATATTTTTGTAAATTTGACTGCTTCAGATTTCAGACTTCAGACGTAAAAACAAACAATATTATTGATCCAGATTTTAGAATTCAAGACCACCTCTTATAGATCAGAAGTGAAATCAGACTTCAGACTTCAAACACCTCTTAAAAAACAAACGTCATGCGAGTGTCACAACCTAGGAGGCATATACAAACATTTGTTATTAAGATCAGTATGAGATTTTCCAGTTTGTTATAATACGTTGAGAAAAACAAGCATCTTAGTAGAAGAAATACCTGAAGCCAATGATGTGTGCTTGGTCATAGACACTTGTTATTAAAATGATTATGAGATTTTCCAGTTTGTTATAATAAATTGAGAAAAACAATCATCTTAAATAGAAGAAATACCTGAAGCCAATGATGTGTGTCTAGTCATAGACAGTTCTGGTGTCAATCATCCCTTCATATTTCGGGCATCCGAAAATACCTACATTTTTCGATGACGGGATCATGGCTCCTATGTATTCCAACATCGGTAGATCCTCAAGAAGCAGTGTGTTTACACACTTCAATTCATAGCCAGTTGAGTTACCGCGAGTAAACAGAATCTGCAACTTCTCACATGACCTGATCTTGATGCTCGTAATCTTTCCCAATGGCGACCATGAAGGCATAACAGTTTTAAGCATCGGGCAACTTTCCAATTTTAGAAATTCAAGATTGATGAAGTTGTTACATTCATTGTTTCCAGAATACAAGCTCTTCAAAGTGGTTGCACCACAGATCCATAACGTCTTCAAATCTTTGGCGAATTTGAAGATTTCTTCAATCTGCGTTATCTTCGGACATTCCCAGATTTTGAGAGTTTCTAAAGATGGAAATGAGACACTGATCTTCTCCAGTTCTGGTAGTTCCCAGAGATGCAATGTTTCTAAATGTGGAAGTTTACCTTCGGCTTCAAACAGAGACACTATCTTGTCACAATGTTTGATGTGAAGAACTTTGAGTGTTTCTGGTAGCCATGATGATGGAAATACAGTCGAAAGCTTCGGACAATTGTCCAAATACAAAGTCTTCAGATTGTTGAAACTCCTAAATGGCTGTTTCCCTTTATATATACTTTCTAAACCACTGTTATTTGAAATTCCCAAATCTTCCAAAGTGATTCCCAAATGTGGATCTTCTTTTCCTTCCTCCTCGCTAAAAATAGTGACCATTTTGTCGCACCTTTCGATCCAACAACCCTTTAATTCATCGAGCACAAAGGCATCTAAACCAGATGGCAAACTCTCGAACGTATTATCAATCAGAAAGATCAAGCTGAATTGACTGATAATGTTCTTGATACCCTCGGGGATATGTTTGAATCCACGAATCTGTAACGACTTGTTTCTCTCATATCGAGCAAACTGACAAGTTTGGAAGTAGACATCTCTAAAGACAAGTTCATGCCTTTGAATATATCTATCTCCAGTTTCACCTTCATTTTTGAAGGGAATTGCACATAAAAGAAATGATCCCTGTGGCAAAGGATTTTTCTTCAGAATTTGAAGAAACTGAGTGCCGCTAAGAAATATGGGAGGTTTGCCGATGTGAGACAACAGGCAGATTTTCCATCTGTCTTGATTCATCACCTCTTCTGATGAACATTCTACATGGCTGCTGTCAACTCCTTGGATGTTCTTGAGATTTGGAAATCGGAGGTAGTCAAGATGACTTAATTCGGAGATCCAATGGGGGATTTTTGGATTAGGCTCAAATAAATCATTAAACTCCAAATCTAGAACCCCTATGGAACAATCTCCGAGAAGGAGCTCTCGAAGTTTGTTGGAATTGTTGAAGTTTGGTAAATGCTTGACCGATGATTGTGAAAGATCCAAAACTTCAAGCTTACTTAAGGGAACCAAATCTGGCAATGTTTCTAAACACGAGCAATTTGCGAGCGATAGACGAATAAGGTTTGTGAGTTTTGCCATGGATGGTAACTGTTTCACCGGAGTGCAAGAAAGGTCAAGAATTTGAAGGTTGCTCATATCCTTAATGAAATCAGATCCATAAGGTTTCAAAGAAGTGATACCGGAAAGATTTAGCTCTTCAAGATTGAATAGGGAGTCCTTTAGTTCAAGATTCTGCAAATTGGTGCAATTCTTTAGTAAGAGATAACGAAGGTTGGTTAGATTTGAAAGAGAAGGGAGGGATTTGATCTTCGTTTCTGAAAGATCGAGCCTTTGAAGGCGAGTCATATTCTTGAAAGAATCATCTCCTATATCTTTTAAAGCCCTACATTCTGAGACATCAAGAACCTCCAATTTTGTAACAGATTCTAGCGATGGCAGATGTACCAAGGCCGCACAGCGGGAGAGGAGCAGTTCACGAAGGTTGGAAAGATTGGAGAGAGATGGCAGATCATCAACATTAGTTTCTGAAAGATTGAGAACTCGAAGATGTGTCATATGATTAAAGAAGTCTTTTTGGATCTCATAAAGCTTCTCTGACCCCGAAAGATCAAGTACCTCAAGGTCTACAAGGGATTCAAAACATGAAAGTCGTTCTAAAAGACGACAACTTTTAAGATAGAGATAACGAGGATTTGCAATATTAGAAGGAAGACTCTCAATAGCTGTTTCTGTTAGGTTAAGAGTTCGGAGGGAAACTAGGCTTTTTAAAGATGACTCATGAAACTCTTCAAAATCGGTAGAACCAGAAAGATCAAGAGTTTGAAGACTGGTTACGGAAGTCAGTCCTCGTAATCTACCTAAGTTTTTACAGTCACGCAAGAACAAATGAGTGAGTTCTTTGATTTGTTTGAGCAATGGTGTGGTTGAAATCATGGTATTAGAAAGATTAAGGCTCTGAAGTTTATTAAATTTCAAAAAGTTTTTATCGACAGAATCCAAAACGATATTACCAGAGAGGTCGAGAACCTTAAGATCTTCAAGCTTTGCAATACTCTCAAGCTTTTTCAAACGACCACAATCCTTGACAACTAGCCATTTTAGTTTAGTAAGACCGTATATGGCATGAGGTAAATTGGCAATTTGTAGTCCAGAGAGATTAAGGCTTTGAAGGTTTTCCATATTCTTAAAGAACGACGATTTGAGCGTTTTCAGAGATCTAGCACCGGAGATTTCAAGAACATGTAGAGTGTTGAGATGGAGCTTGACGTCTAGCAAATGTTCACAACCTCTAAGCACAAGAACACGAAGCTTCATATTAACCAACGCTTTTGGCAAAGATTTGATGTTGGGATTGAATAAAGCAAGAACTTTAAGTTCCTTTTCGGGTTCAAGAAAGCGCGTCATGACTTGCTCACTAAAATTTGTTCCATCTAGCAATAAAGTCGAAAGATTCTGACCAGTTTCCTCTAATGATTGTTTCTGTTCTTTATTATGCCATTTCTTACCTTTTCGCGGTGTTTTCAACATTCCATCATCGTGTTTGATTATCCCAAAACCTCCTAAATCAGAAGTAAACACAGTCGCCAACCCAAGATTTGCGATTTGGTCAACACACTGGTAGAGATCATCAACGTTTATAAGCGACTTATCCATGTAAACATAACCACCCTCGTGTGCTTTGAGGATCCCACAATCCATAAGCTCCATAAGAATACCATGACCCTTCTCGTACAACTTCATCATGCTATCAAAACCCAAATATCCTTCCAAGATCCAGTAAGTTATCAGCTCATTATAGTGAACACTTCCAGAATCACGAAAGAAATGGTCCCCGCACCACCATAAATCTTTCAAAACACTGATTGGCAACATATCATGCTTCAAACACAATAACCTGTTAACCCTGTAGTTTTCAGAAGCTTCTTCCAACTCCTTTTCTAGAATAGAAATTCCAGATGCTTCTAGACCAATGTAATTTAAGGCTTTTGCTATCATCGTAACTGTACCAGGCAAACTGTTACTTTTTTCGATGAATTTTTTACCTAGAGCTCGGATTCTCTTATACTGTCTCAATTGAGTATCAAGTTTTTCTGTCAACAACGAATCAGTCTCTACGCTATGCAAAACTACCACATCCGCTTTTTCCTTGATAGTAGCTTCATCTTTCCTGCTTAATCTAGAGATTGAAAGAATGTGCAACTTTTCATCATAGCCGTTAGCAGGAAACAAGTCTTTCCACACGGACCAGAAGTTCTTTATATTCTCATTCTTATTCTTATCATATGTGTCATCTGGAAAATCATCTAGGATCAGAAGAAACTTTCCCACTTCAAGTTTGGTCCTTAGCTTAATAATCAAACTTTCCAAGTCTTCTACCACATCGTCATCTTTTTGTCCCTTGCTATCATCCTCAACCTCCCACTCCTGAGTAGTAGGAAGTAAGCATAACTGGCGAGCAATACTCTCCGAGAGAGACTTTCTGTTATAATATCTACACATAAACATCCAGAGCGTAAAATCATAGAAGTTTCTCCTAGCAATACGGTCACTTAGTCTCCTTGCCATCCATGTTTTTCCAACTCCAGGAGGCCCAACAAGTGTTGCTTGCTTGCTTCTTTCTAGGGTTGCAATTATTTCCTTCACTTCCTGAGCTGAGCCCATCCCTTTCATCACAATATAAGTACTCTGCAAGTGTAATTGATGAAAACAAGTAAGCTTAGGAGTTTAAACTAAAGACTCCTTCCATCACAATATAAGTATTCTACAAGTGTAATTTATGAAAACAAGTAAGCTTAGGAGTTTAAACTAAAGACTCCTTCCATCACAATATAAGTATTCTACAAGTGTAATTTATGAAAACAAGTAAGCTTAGGAGTTTAAATAAATAAACTAATAACACTACCCCTCCCCCGTTCTTACATCATAATCATAATGTAAGTATTCTACAAGTATAATGTACGAAGAAGAACAAAAAAAAGGTTAGGACAGTTACGAAGAGGTATGTTATGTGAGAATATGTGTGGAAGATTACTCCCCAAAAAAACCATTTGAGAAGAGAAGGGCAGTTCCATCATATTTTGAGTCGAAATCTAGTCGATTTAGGACTCCAACAAGCTACATATCAATTCCAATCTAAAACAGAAGCAAGTTTTATGTACAAATATGTAGCTGTATGTCTCAACCTTAACTTTTCATGGGCATGTCATGTGCTTAGTTTCATCAAACAAGCAAGCCATGACTACCAGTGGATTTTGAATATGAAGTCTACAGTTTCATTCAGAACAAATATTTTGAAAGACTTGTGATACGATCTTTCTCAATGGCATTCATTTGTTGTTAAAATCATTGTCATCATTTTCTACTTAAATATTTACTACATATTGTAATTAAATTGTTCTAGTGTTACCAAAATAATTTATAAATTTGGGGTGAATTTTTGCTTTCTTTGGAACTATAATGGCTATTTTGAAAACTAATGGTAACGATTATTTGAAGTATAGTGCTCTCTTTTAGACTGTTTTAGGGCACAAAGGATTATTTGAAGCCTGGTCAAAAAAGTATGGTTACAAAACTCAATCACTCATTTTAAAACACATAACTAATACAGATCTGAGGTTTATTCAGTAATTCACTAATGAAGACTTCCCATTTCACCCAAATTTAAAAAAAAAAAAAAAAAGGATTATTCAGTAATATGCTATAACTTGTAGCGGAAACATGTCATCTCTAAAAAGTGCATCGTCAGAGTTCACTTTTCTTGTAATAAACTTTTTTCATTAGTATAAAATTGAGTACAAGAAATGCTAATAATTTAGTGAGGAAATAAATCTTAATAACAAGAAATATGTGTTATTTTGATACAAAAAGAGAATTCGTGTGAATGAAATAATCATGAGGGTCAATGAGAGATCAATAATAAAGAAGATTATCAAGGTTTTCTATACAAGTAGACAAACGATGATCAATAAAAATATGAAAGAAAAGATGATCCATTGAGATTCAATAAGAATAAATATTGAATTAAACATATAATATGCAAGCTCAACAAATGATTATTTGAGCACTTAAATAGAATCTTGTGGTGTGGTGGAATCTCAATGAAAGATACATAAGTCAAACAATTGATGAAAATATATAAATTCTATTTCCTTTCGTTTTTTATTCAACTAAAATAAGATGTTAAAATTAAAAGTTCATGGAACATGACATATATAAGAGACATTACTAAATACATCTAGTAGAAAAAATTTATTGATTAATCACAAAACCATGAAACACGTCATAAATTATAAGAACAATAAATTGATTGTCAAACAATAGTAAAATATTTTATGTAGAAACAAAAATAGATAACAATAGTCAACAGAAAACGATTAGAACAAGATAACCAAATAACAATAGTCAATAAAAGCAGAAATTGATAAAAATATCCAACAAAAATATATAGCAATAGCAAGCACATGATCTTAAAGTTGAATTGTTGAAACACAAAAACAGTTAAGTATATAGAGATAGCAATAACCAATATCACTGGACCTTATTCGAGATAAAAAAAATTTAGAGAGACAATAAACAATAGCATATAATGAATGGCCAATTACTTTTTTTATTTTCTTCTCTAGTGTAATTAGTTGATATATTTTTGTGCCCTTATTATCTACTAAATTCTTTTTGCCTCTTATTATATGCTACAATTTTTTGGTTTTTTTTTTCATTTATTAAATTATTTTAGACTACTAATGTATTTCAAGCGAAAAATTTGGGCCCCTTGATATTCCCTGTAACCATCATCCTCATAGAAATGCCAAGAAAAACATTTGTAGCTCCTAAAACATGAGTGATTTAGAACAATTTATGCTATTTCAATGCCAAAAAGACAAAATACTTGCTAAAACGAAACTGCATATGCTACTTCATCGGTCCAAAAACACAGAGGGTTTAAGCACAAACTTGCTGATGGCATTCAAATAGAAAATGGTTTGATATCAGATTTGCAACACAATCCTTCAAATGTGTCTTCAACATTGAATCATATAATTAAAACAGATGAATTACAACTAGCGCACAATCAATTACGAGATGAAAATAGATGCAACATTAGTCGTGTATACAAGTATTGGAGAGGGAAAAACCTGGGAATCCATAGTCTGCGCTTCTTTGATTTCCATCTCCAATGTTGAAAGCTACAAACGATAGAAAGTATCTCCTCCGTCCTAATACCAGAGGGTTTCGACATTTTTTAGCACAACAACGGCATTCAAATTTCACAAAAATCAGTACTAATTAAAATGATTTGGTGTTAGATTTGAAACAAAACCAAAGGATGAAAACTAATTCCCAATCGATTCTACAAAATGCAATAGATGAAACATTAGTACCATACATAAGAGTTTGAGAGGGAAAAACCTGAATCCAATTGCTATCGTTCCCAACGATTTAAACGTAGACGACGGTTTGGAGGTGTATTTATAGAACAACTTTTCCGACGTCAACCGGAAGTCACCATTTTTTCCGACGAGTATATATCAAAGTGTTAAGGGGAATAACTTCTTTACTTCCCGCGAAAAAAAGAAAAAAGAAAAAGTTAACGAATATAAAATAAAGCAGTTGTACCATATGCATAAATAGTTGTACCTTATGTTTCAGATACTTTTTGCTTTATTAAAAGCAATTTGAAAGGATACCTTAATCCATACACACGTGTAACGATTCCATATTTTAATAAGCTATTTAAGTCTTTTAGGTAGTGTTTGGTACGCAGTCTTAAAATTGGACTGGACAGGACATGACTAATTGTTTGTCCCATGTTTGATACGATTAGGACAGTACATGACAAAACTGTTAAAATGACCTTATTACCCTTAAATGTTGTTCAATGTTATTTTATATCATATAATGATTGTAAAATGACAACAAATCAACCATAATATATTTTAATTACATAGTTTTTATAATCAAGTTTAAAACATTAAATATAAATCCAAAAAAATGACAAGTTTTTATAATCAAGTTTAATACATTAAATATTACCCATTTTGACATGTTATTCAACCCACATTTTTTTAACATTCCAAGACCACATGTAAATAACATTTGTCATACCACAAATTCACTTGTAACCTCTGTTACGACATTATTAAAAGTTTAACATTCCAATACCATATGTCAAATGTACCAAAAATATCACAAAAGGACAATCGTTTTCATCATCTCCTAAAATATGTCAAATGTACCAAAAACATCACAAAAGAAGTTGAATTTTAACTTAACGAGTTGAATTTTATAACGTTCATGTTAAATTGGGACTGTTCGAAAACTCGATTAAATTTTTTAAGTCGACTTAAATTGAGTAAAGCTGTAATGGGTTGGGTTGGACGATTTGAGGTCATTTCAACGACTTAATCCAAGAGTTTCGATTTGAAAAAGTGTAACCCATTCAACCATATTTAAATTTTTAACAGAACCCAATCCATTACATGTCGGTTTGGGTTGGACAGTTCGAACATATTTAAAAAATAATAATTATATTACTATGATTATAATTTGTCGGATCTGACGGGTCGGTTTGACATGTACGTAGCCCATAACTGATCTTACTCTCATCGGTTTGTGCTTTGTAGATTTTGTAAATTTGTTTTGGAATGTATCCATAATGTGTGGTTTTGAATAACGAACCTTATCAATGTTTTGATGTACTGGATAATAGAGTTTTACCCATGTTTTCAGTATTAAAATATTGTACTTTATTCACGTTCTGTATGAGTATTGGATTTAAGTTTCATGTTAAAATGGGTACTTTGATCACTGGTTTTTAGAAAGAAAGACATTGATTTTATATTAAATACATTTCATTTGGAAAATTTTGATTCAGATAATATTCTTTAAGTTTTACCGTTTTATATTAAAAATAAAACTATTTGAACTCAATAGACATTGAGCCTAACATATGTTTCTTGGTGTTAAATCTAAATTTGCCTTTATATGTAATCATGGGTTAACCTTTAAAGAGAGTTTTATTCTTTAATTGACGTGTTATAAAAAGTTTAAATCAATTGTTTTTTTTTCCAGATTTTAGGGTGTTACAATTAGAGATCATATCGTTAATTGACTTTGAAGAGATGAATGTTTCCGACTTTCAGGAAAATAGAAGTCGCAAACGATACCCTGGAGCGATTAAGCTTGGCTAAGGGGAATTCAGTCCTTTTTACCATGAACTAAACTATAAGCAAGACGGATTTGACCCTATATTCATGGGTCATTATGATTGTGGCATAGTTGTATTAAGGGGTAAAATTGGTATATCAAAAAACAATATATCTAGTTTTTTTTTTAAACTCATATATTCATGCATCTTCTTTAATATCCCCTAAAACTTAGCCCTATACTAATTAGAGATGGCCAAATCGGCCCGGCCCGACCCGGGACCGTCGGAGGACCGGGACCGGGACCGACAAAGGACCGGCCTAGGACCGGGACCGGTTGAGGTTTTGGTAGTTTCGTGGGACCGGGACCGGTTATGGGACCGACTATGGATCGGCCCGGCCTGGCCCGGCCCGACAATTTAAATAATTTTATAAATAAATGTATTTTTAAATAATTTTATAATGTATTCTTATAAGAAAACGTAATTTTAATTATATTAAAACGTATTTTTAAAGTGT